AGATAGGTAGCTTCTTATTAGAGCTAAAACGGTACCACCCACTTCATAACAGTCAAGTTTTTCTAGCATAATATCATGGTCTATTCTATCGAAAGCTTTCAAGAAATCTAGAAATATTCCTAGGGTAAGTTTTTTTGCTTCTATATTTCTTAGAATCAATTCCTTTTGGTATAGTTGGGCACTTTCGGTTGAGAGGCCTGACTGAAAACCGAACTGTGACGGCGTAATAATGTTGTATTTATTAAAGAAATTATGTAACCGAGTGAAAAGTTTTTCACACTCCTTAGAGAAAGCTGGTAAAATCGAAATTGCCCTGTAGTTTCCTAATTTGCTTTTGTTCCCACCCTTATATATAACCGTTACTTTAGCGTTTTTCATTCTCTGAGGAAACAGCCCAGTGGCGAACACGAGATCATAAATATGTACTAAGCAGGCGCATGTGAGATCTAAAATGTATATTATTAGTTCTATTTTTAAGTCATCTATGTCCTCGCTTTTACTCAATTTGAAATGCTGAAAAAACGCTGATGACCTCTTGCGCGTCTGTAGGATTAGCAAACACAGAATTATTTAAAGCAGGAGGCAAATAACCTAATTAATCACAATTATGACTACTGTCAACTATTGAGGTAAAGTACTCGTTAAATTTGTTTGCTAGTACTGCACTTTTGTATATTTTATTTTTGATCACCATCTCACTATTATCATTACTCACTTGTTTGGTAGATATAATAGCATTGTGTTTGCTCCATAATTGCTTAGAATCGGTGACACCGTCAAACATCTTGAAGTGATAATCGCGTTTAGCTTGTTTTTGTAGTTTAGTGAGTTTATTTTTGTATACCTTAAAAGCTTTAAATTTATTCGTGTCTCGCTTTATCAGAAACTCTTGATACAACCTATTTTTTTATTATATTGAGTATTGCGGAAGAAATCCAAGGTTTACGCGCCCGTTTTGGTCTCTTTAAAGCTTTGTAAGTGAAATGTTTTTATACACAGAGCATAGAGGGTCATTAAAACAATCATCAGCGAGATCAGCAGAAAAACCAGATAGAACGTTGTTCCAATTTAGAGTTCTCATTTCCTCTCTAAAAGTAGATAGCGTTCGCAGATGAATTTGTTGAAAGTGAACGGCAGGAAGGATTTGACTCCTTACACTGGTTATGTTTTCTATGACTAGATATATGTCCAAATGATCACTTATCGGGGCACGCAGGACGCCTGCCTATAACCTACTGTTTGTACTACTTGTAATAAACAAGTCTAATAGAATCGAAGTGGTATCAGTAATACGTGTTGGAATTGTAATTACGTTTGCTAAAAAAAAAGCAAGAAGGTCTGAAAATCTCATCTGTTTCTTTGTGTCGCTCAACATATCTATGTTAAGATCACCTCCCAGCACTAGTTTGTAATTAAATTGGTTAACAACGGAAATAGGTTTTCTAAATATTGAATAAATGAATGAAAATTGCCCCTTAGTGGCCTGTAAACTGCAGCAAAAGTGTAGTTGTGATACTGTAATGTTAACGCCTTAAGGTCATCGGTGCACAGAGACAGACCTTCACGATACCCATACGTTATTTCTGCTTTGACATACAAGCATACACCACTACCAATTTTCAATTTTCTATTTTGGTACACAACATTACATCCGTCAATATGAAACACGTGCTTTTCACTACGGTACTAAGTTTCAGGCATCATAATAACGGAAAAAATTTAAACTCATCAAGAAACAAAAGAAAGTTTTCTTCTTTCGAACGAGCTGACTGCATATTATTGTGAAGGAATGTCATGGGCTGCCTATGACGGTCACTTACATACGATTTCAATTCAGAAACGCTAGAATACATTGCCAATGCTTACAGCAGAAATATAAGTCTACTATTAAGCTAGACTACTTAAGGTAGATCCGCCTCAGAAGTTACATATAAAACAGGTGTCCTCTCTGCTTTCCGCATGAAGATCCTGCCCTGTGATATCCATACATATTTCCATTCTCTTTCACGCCTTGCTTGCCGCGCCTTATTGAGCAGAACCTTCCTTTCCATGCACACGTGTTCATTTATATATACAGGGTTACTGTTGTCAAAACCAAGACGAGTTTTATCTAGTCTAATCTTTTTTGCTGCGGACAACATCTTGTCTTGCGCCGTTCTGGTGAAGAATCTGACGACCACATTTGATTTCTTTTTATCTTTAGATAGTACGCGGTGGGCGACGTCAATGTCATTATCTGTGACATAAGTTCCTAAGCACTTGGCGATGTTTGCGACAGTTTTCTCCAAAATTTTTTTTCGATTAGCGAAAGAACTTGGATTTCAATATTCATATTGCGGCTGTATTGCTTCAGCTCGAAAATCTCCCGTCTAGCTATTTTCAGGTCCCTCCGCAGTTCTTCGTTTTCCTTACGACACTGCGCACTCTCAGCCTTTACCACGTCAATCTCCTTGCGAAAAGCCTCCACGTCAGTCCTAAAAAGCTCAAAGCTCTCATTCATGCAGCCAATAGCACCTCGAACACGTCCAAGTTCAGTGAATTTTTCAGTGTTCGAGGAAGCGACCTTAGCTATCTCACATTTAACCTCTGTGGAGAACACGTCAAGTCTTCCCACCAGATCACCTAGAAATTTCACGACCCCTTTAATGCTATTTGGCTGCCTCTCAGCAAGGGTCACTGCAATATTGCCCATGTCGCCCGAATTTTTATCCCCCATTGTTTCAAGCACTTCAAGTAAAAATTGCACGAAAATGCTCTTGCGCACTCAAAGCAAGAGGCAAAGTTTGAAGGCAAAGTTTATTTTGAATGGTGAATCGACAAACAGCGCCAAAACTTTTTTTTCACTCCCATCGCATGAAATACGGTGGTGGTTCCGGAAGGAAGTCATACTTGGCGGTATAAATTTTGTTCTTTATCGTGGCCAAAAAACTGTGTAGTTTGCTAAATATTCCGCGCTTGCGGCAGCGTTTAATTCTTTTAGATGTAGGTTCTCCTGCGTTACCCACGGATACTCTCAATCAACGCATTACCTTTTCAAAGAAACGTGATAAGTTTCATGATAGCTCTCGATATTTTTAAAGAATGACCACATTTTGTTCACATTGTCTATTTTCCCGAAATTCGGAAAGAATGAATCTAAATGAACTAAAACGATATTGTCGTCCGCATGCGCACAGTCTTTGAAATATGTAGTTCGAGGTAATTTGTTCTGTTTGTTTGCAATAGCCTCATAGAACACAAAAAAACAATATTGTGGCCAGAAATTTCATTTTTAACAATGATACATAAGTCCTTGAATTAACTAATAACGAACACGAGGTTAAGTATTGAAAAAGAATCTACAAAATGAAAGTCACAAAATACTAGTGGAGATATTGCGAAACTAAGTTCTTTTGTTAAGAAATTTGCACTGGCTATTTCTCGTTGGTCAGGGCACAAGTATCGGCAGTTTATTTCTGGGAAATTTTAATCACCACAAAGAAGTGTATTCGAACGTGATGTTGTCGGCATGCGGTGGCAGCTCCGCTTTGTAAATCTTGCATTGTCCCAGTGCAGATAGCGTAGTGTTGAATTACAGCCTGTCATGATTAGCGGTGACAGCAAATTGCCATGAAGAGCACAAAGCAATCTGGACGATGAAAAACAGGGGAATCAACAATCGTACCTTCCCGGCGCGCCCAAGTCAACCTAAAGCGACTGAGAAACGGTCGAAAAGTGTCTAAGTATCAGTAAAAAAATTGAAAAGGGCATTTATGACATCAGAATGGAGTAATCTTTTCGCGATTTTATACGACATATATATCATGAAATAGTGAAGGTCACAAAATTTCAGCAGATCCCACGCGGCATAGGAATCGACGCAATGTGAAGCATGCGGATGGGAGGACGTTAGTTACACAAACTACACGCACTGCCAACATGAACTGCGGTAGACTTAAATGTTTCATTAGCACATGATGGTGAATACATGCACACACACTACGAATACACGTACATTTGTGACGCCCATGTGCCCATGGGTCATAAGTACGCATCCAGCTGGCTCTCAACACATCCTTAACTTGGGCTGGATCATTGTAAAGTATCAGCACTATCAGCAGAAATGTAGTTGCCCATGTGTTATAGCAGCGATGAGGGGCCTATATTAACTGAACTGTGACGTATAGTTTATTTTCTAGAAATTGTTGATGTCTTTTATGAAAAAGTTGTCAATGACACTACTGTGCCTCGTCGTGGGCGCGGAATTCGGGAAGGCTCTCTCTACGTACAAAAGTCTTGCATGTATTGTGTGAACCTGGTCTCAAATACCCATCTTAATGTCGCCAGACGATGGCAAACGGAAAGCTGATATTCAGCGCTTGTGCGAGTGAGGATGCTGGCCCTAGACACTAGTTATGTTAGGTTAGCGAGAAAGTCACTATATCTGGCGGATTTGCGATGATCCAAGCAATACTTATATCTCCTTGGAAGCTTAGTGACTTGTATTGCAATAAAAGTTATACTGACGATCTCGGGTGATTTTCGCAGTTGCCGTTATGTCCTGTATATGAATGTATATATTATTACAGTGAGTTTAATCTACCGAACTCACAGCAGAAACAAGAAAAAAAAGGGTGAAAAGAATAATGACCCTCAGTACTGCACGCACTTCCCATCCATGCTCTGTGAATAAGCCTCTGATCAACGTTATTTACAAGTCTCGTAACAATATGTCATCAATATGCAGAGATAGGTACAAGCCTTTGCAGGAGATGATTTGAACAGCTAAAATTCTAGCTGTTTCACAAAAATGCTGGTGTACGCATGTTGGCGCATAAAGGGGGGGGGGCGCATACAAAAAAAATTCTTAGTGTGAAGTCGACTAATGGAAGACCTTCTTCTAATTTCTTAAGGCTCAAGTGAAGCAAGCATGTATTATTCATGAAGGCTCACTTTGTGACACGAAGTCATCAGAGAGTGTTGTTATATTTTTCTTCTTGCTCATTGATTGCTTGCTGCAGAATCCTCACTGCCATAGAGGAGGCCTCCGCAGCGCTGTCCACATCCACCGTGATCTTCAGTGGTTCTGTGGCTGTGGGCAAGGTGGACATCATAGAATACAACCGGGGCATTGCCATTCACCTGCGAGACAACAGTACATACCACTTCAGTGACCCACAAAGCATCCCCAGGGGCACTGACGCCGCAATCATTCTTGCCGAACCCAATGCTTCCATACCACATCTCACGATTGCACTGATGCCCGCTGGTGCACTGTTCAAGGAAATGTGCAGAAATGACACCGAACACGAGGTTGAAAGAAATGGCACCAAACTCGAAGTGGGAAAAAATGACAGAAATGTCGGCTCCACGTATGAAGTGTGTACCCAAGTATTGCAGGTGAAATACACCATTGATGATGGCACCGCAAATCTGACCAGTAGTAATGCGAGATTCAGCTTCTTCTTTCGTCAGACATGTGTAAGTACACTTAAGATCCTTCTGATTGTACATATTAGAAGTTAAGAAATGTTGTCTGGCATAATTCAGTCAGCATGAAACATGTGTTTTACTGCATTGTTAACAAAATATTTTAGGATCCAACATTTTTTGAAGAAGGAAACTGCTTACACTAAAGTTCAGGATGCATAATTCAATAAGTATGAAGATTTCAGAAACATATCTTGCACTCATTGCTCTAGCGCAGCTATTCTAACACACAAACTAGAGCAGCAATTTCACAAGGGTTAAATGCACTAATTTTTTAAAGCGGAGTTTCTTCTCAGAGAAGTAGTTATCAAATAAGGACTGTCAAATGCACTGCTGCGTCATGCAATTCAATACAAAGTGTGTTCTTACGCATTATATCTCGTAAATGACTTGAACACCAATACATTACGTAGCAATTCTTTGACAATGTATATTTCGCGACTGCTGCCACACTCTGTATCTGTTCCAAGTGGTTGATACATTCAATCTTTTAGGCTACAATTCAGATATTGTAGGGCATAGCATGACGTATTCTGTAAGAAAGATACTCAGGTATATGTTTTATAAGTAAATCTCTTTTTTTAGAAAATCTATATTTGTGAGTTAAATCGCGCCCACTAAAATAGTGCTGCGTACCAATCTAGAACCGTTTTTTGATATAACAGTAGATACGCATTGCGGGTGCATATGTGTGGTAAATGAATGTTAATTGTGTACTGCTGACCGTGAAAATGTAGAGAGAGAGAAAGAGATGAAGCTGAGGGCAGGAAGGTTACGTAGTTATGAGCATCTGATTGGCTGACCAGCACTAGGGGTGGAAAATAGGAACACGAAAGAGGGTGTGGGAAGAAAAAAACAAATGGAACAAAAACAAATGTGCACGCAGGAGACAACAAAAACAGGCGCACACACATAGAGAGGTCGAACAGCGTTTTGACTACAATCGTTCAGAGAGGTCGGTCAATTGCAAAAAGCACAGCGCTTGTAAGACCTTCTTTCGTGAAGTTGCATCCTTACTGTATTGTGAAATTCGTACCTCCGCGATAGAGGTTTGTTTATAAAATTGAAAGCGCCCAAAGGCATAGTCACTGTGCACTATATTGCAGGTAGTCACAAAATTTATGTTCAAAAGTTTCTTTGTTGCCACAGTGGTCACAGGTGGTTATATCAGCCATCTCACTGCGGAAATCGTAGGCGTTGGCAAACGTAGTGTCCAAGCACAGCCGACACATAAGGGTCCTGTCTACTCGGCGATGCTTCGAAGCGAGTTCAACACGTAGCGTAGGGTCAAACGAGTGCAGTCGGGCATGCTTGAAGTGCATGATGATGATGATGATATGTGGGGTTTAACGTCCCAAAACCACCATATGATTATGAGAGACGCCGTAGTGGAGGGCTCCGGAAATTTCGACTACCTGGGGTTCTTTAACGTGAACCCAAATCATGCTTGAAGTGCAGCTGAATCCATTGTGACGTGAACACTGGCGAGCAAACCAGCGTAGCTGCCTTGAGCTTTCGGTCCTAGAATGTGATAGTAGCACCTTATGGTCTTTTGCGTGACTGAGCCGGCACCAGACTGAGCCGGCACCTTGATTGGCCAGTTCATTGTCGATGATTGCGCAGTGACTGGGTAGCCACTGAAACGTAATTTGGTGCCTTTTCTCAATCAGCTGAAGTTTAAGCTCAGCTGTCTGTAGTATCAGCGTCTCGTGCATCCCGCGGCGTAAGACTGGGGGTCTGCATTACCACATTCGATTCGCAGAAAATAGTCTACTTGTGTGTTAGTCGAGTAATGACGAACTGTAGTGTGCCACGAAGGGCTGTCAATTCTGCTGCCGTTGATGTTGTTGTGTGAAGTGTCTTGAATTTAATAGTCATGACCAACCTTGGTAACTCGACTGCGCCGGTTGAGCTGTTCGGCAGAACAGATCCGTCACTGTAGATGTATCTTGCGTCTCTACTTTTCATACAAGAGAAATGGTGAGAGCTGCTTAAGTGCTGGTGACGATAAATTGGCTTTATTCTGGGCCCCAGGTACGGTAATGTTCATATTAGGTTGAGCGAAGCACCATGGAGGAGCCAGAGGTCCAGCGGCGTGTATGAAGGAAGTTGGTATCGACAAATTATGCGCAGTCTCTGTTTGGCAGTAAGACGTACGAGATTAATACTCCGGTAGAGAGGGTAGTTGATGGCGGGGAGTGTAAGCAAGGTGTCGTATATGTGTGTCTTCTGCACTTCCATATCAATTTGTGTTTTGATTAGTTAGTGCCTTGCGATGGTGATAGTCCCCACTGTTGATGCACGTTAAACCAAGCCTACACAAATCTGGAATGCCTGAGCCTGAACACTTTCAATCGTCCGTAGACTTGCTTCATTTCCGTTGGGCAGCGCAGGTAAGTTGCACGAAAGAAATCAAAGAAAAAGAACCCTGTTTAATCGAAACTTGGTGATTGGGAGATTCGCTGTCTATTTCATGTGAAGAACTTCAACAGGTGACAGAGGCCTGTCAATCGCTTTTTCATGTACAGGAGGGCTCCAGAGATGTCTCTGTCAATAATACACCGAGCAACTAGTACGTTCCGAGGTAGGGTATCAATTCGCCACTTATCGTTTCGCTGTATCTCTCTGTTGATTTGCGCGTGAATTCCACAAGCACACATTTTTCGCAGGAAATTCTAACACCTCACTTGCGCAGGTGAATGGCAGCTTGTGTGTTCGCTCCATGAATCTGTGCTTGCAGCTGTAGACGCGTTACTGCAGAAGTCCAAGCGCAGATGTCGTCAGGGTACATTGACAATCTCCCAGAGCATGGCAGGTGCTCATGGCGACTGATTAGCTTCAAGGTGAAGAGCACAAGGCTCAGTACTCCAGCCTATGAAACATCACGTTGGATGTAATGTAGAAAGTGGGTCCAACTTCGATTGTCACGAAAACGAATTTCTCTGAGAGGTAGCTGTGTAGCCACTGAAACACCGGACCACCCACTCCTACCGCTTTGAGAGTGGCGAGGATAGCTTGATGACTGACATTGTCATACGCCCTTTTAACGACAAAAATTTAATAAAAACGCAGGCACGATTGTGTCCTTTTTTCGTGTTGTACGTAGGGGACCAGGCTGACGGCACTGACAATCGATGAGCGACCACGGTGAAACCCCGTCATAGCATCTGCGTAGATGTTTTGATGCTCTAGGTACTATTCTAGGCGTCCTAGAATCCATCTTTCCATTATTTTGCCCACACAACTAGCCAGTATAATCGGGCTGTACGGTGTGAGCACCAGTGGAGACTTTCCAGGCTTCAGTAATGAAACCAGACGACTAGTCTTCCAGTTAACTTAGAGTGTGCCCTCTCACCAGAATTTGTTGCATGACTAGAGGAGAGAAATTCAGGCATGCACATCAAGCTGACTCAGGGCTCTGTAAAAATTTCATCAGCCTCAGGTGCCAATGTCCGTCTACACAAAGCTAGTGCGGCTTTAAGTTTATGAATTAAAAAGGGTAGGTTCATTCAGCCATTGCGTGATGTCGGAACGCCACGCGAAGGCGTGAAGCTGTTGTGATCTCTGATCTGACCACATGAGTTCGCATAAAACTTTTCTGCCACGTCAACCTCCGATCGCTGTTGAGATAGGGCTAGAGCCTTAAATAAAAACAGCTGAACGGGTAGTGTCCGGAGTCCTCTTATTGTCCTCCATAAGCATGAAAGGCGCTTGTGAGAAATTACCAACTCACAGAAGGCAACCCAAAGTTGTCAGTCTAGAATGTCTATCCGCTTGTGCATTTTATTCGGCAAGCGTCTAGCACTGCTTAAATCCTGAAGTGTTTTGTGCGTCGGTACCTTCTTTTCACACGCCGTCGGAGAGCCCGAAGTCTATTTCTTTCTATGTCAAAATTCGTTATTTTCGAAAATACAATTTCAAAAAGCATCTCAAGCTTAAGCCTCAACAAATAAAAACCAATGAGAATGTGCTAACAACAAAAATGTCTCAATAGCTGCTAATATAATAGTAAAATTGTTATAACACTGGTGATAGACCTGTTTTCTCCACAATAGGAAGAAATATTAGAGACGATCAAATTTTGTTATCGACGTGGTTTTTTTTAGCAAATACTACGAAACTTTTTGTTAGATTGCTATTTTCTTCGACAGATAATCTTCTTCAAAATTTATGGGACTTGACGACAAGTAATTGAAACCAGGCAAAAAGCGTTAACGTTCTCAATGTTAATGCCTAGAAACACTCAGCGCGAAATTACTGTGTCTGAAGATGAGTGTTTCATATTGCTCCTACTTCCGTTTTACTGAAAAGGTAGAGTTCTTGTATTCTCATTTCTGCTTTTGCGACTCGCCAAAAGTCTTCATATAAACCTTACCTTTTGGCCAACAAACATTGCGCAAGTTCACAATGACTGTTGTATACAAAGACACAACATGTAAATGGCATATTTTGAAGGCACAAACAGGCGTTCATCTATTCTCAGCTTGCAGCTCCACAAATTTCATAGACATGCTTCAAGAACAAGTTTAAAATTAAAAAAAAAAGATTTCTTCTGGTCCGGACTGCAGCGCGAAACGAAGGCAGGTCTTGCTAGCACAGTAAATAATTGAGCAGACACAACATTCACTTTCAAAAAATGAAATATTTTCTGTTAAGAAGTAATGACCTCTTCTTTGTTGTGGCATTTGGCCGTTATAATGATGTACGTCACTAGAAAATCATCTGACATAAACAAGATGATATTTGTCTCGATGGCATGGGTTAGCATTGTGCTATTTGGTTTGGTAGAGGGCTGTTCTGGTCCGCTAAATATGGGTTTATACGGATATATTCAGGTAATAGTTGCCCCAGATATTTTATTTCTGCAACGCAGTGAAAAAATAAAAAGTAGAAAAATATCAACATATATAATTAAAAAAATGAAACATACCTTTTCTGCGGAATGCAGATGAAAATTCAGGTGTCATTGGTGTTTCTCACGCTGTCATATAATATTTACAAAAGCTGGTATTCAAAAGTCATCACAGCGTATGCAATTATTTATGCTTTTTATTTTTCATAAAAAAATAACTATTGGCTTCTTTTGAGTGCAATTAAATTGTCTTTGTGACATTGTAACTGCACTGCCAGAAACAAATGTTATATGGCATGTGTAATGACGTAATTTATTCAATACATTTAAGCGCATTGAGAATTACCAGGAATGATAGCACTGTGAATGTTTGTCGCAATTTCTGAGAACCACATATATAAACTCTGAGAAAAAGAACATCTGAGTTCATCGAATAATTTCTTGGAATGCAGCAGAACTCACCCAATAAGTTTCTTACTGCGCCGAACGAAAAGAAATTTCATTGTCCGGGAAACGTGTAATGCGAGCATGGGATAAAGATTTGAAGTGCAAATAAACAACAAAACAGATAAATAGTACCCTGCTCTTCCGCTTCAAGAGAATTTTAAAGACGATAGTTTTTTTTGAGAACCTTCGACACAAAAATTTTGGTCTGGCTGTCGGTCTGTCTGTCTGTCTGTACGTATGTATGTACATTTGTCTGTCTACACTTACCAATACCCCAAATGGCCGACACCATCCACAGAAACTCCCTAGCATTGCTCAAGAATCAGCGTTCGTAGTTGTGCGATTGTCAATTAAAGAGCAATTATTGAGCATATCTGAGGCACCATAACAACACGTCAATATTCTGTGTGTCGTTAAACTAGAGAAAGCATACGTAAGTAATTATAAGGACCATAGCCTTTATCACGCTGCGCTGACAATGGAACAGTTGCACGAAAACGCAAGTTTTTCCAACGCTTTCTTATGACGTCGCGGTGATGGCACCTGCCCGTTCCTTTGCGTTCTACAGCTTGTTGCCTCCGAGACAGGCACACAGGCCACGCGCTTCGTTTTCGAAGATAGCTGCCAGATAGCGCTCATGTCTCACGTGTGACTTCACGATGCGCTCGTTCGCCTCCGCTGCACGCTCGAGGTACTATAACGCAGCGTCTCCAGAATACCATTAACCAATTTTCTTGCGCAGAACAATAAAAAAACGTTTTGTTCATTCTCTCCAGACGCAACGCTATCGTCTGTCGACGACATTTGCAATGTAACATGCGGATACGGGCCAACGTTTTTTTTTCCTCAGCGGTTAAAAAGTTATTCATTGAAGCCTGCCGTTTATATTGTGTCCATGCCGGAACCACACCCGTTTCGAGCTTTTCAATGACCTTCTGGAATTTCAAAATCCTCGACTCATTGATGTACTTGCTCTGAATGTCCAGCACTAGGGGCAGTTTTTACATATCAGAGAGAAACGGGGCGGGAGTGTCAATCCAATGAGATTTTAATTCACAACTTTTTCTAGGTTTTTTGCATTACTGCATTACAAAATATTATACACTTTTTATTATAGTTCCCGAAGTTTACCGTCGCAAAATCACCATATGATTATGACAGATGTCGTAGCAGATGCCTCAGCAAACTTCGACCAACTCAGCCTATTAAACGTACACCTAAATCAAAAATTTAAAGAAGGAAGTTCAAGAATTTTGTTTTCATCGTACTTGCGGCCATCCCAGACGTGATCGATTCCTCGACCTGCGGGTCAGCAGCCCAGTGCCTTAGCCACTAGACCACCGGTGCGGGTGAAGTAATTTACATGCGAAATTTAGTAAGTGAGGAGCGCATTAGTGGGGTTCTACGGTACACAAGAGTTTGAAACAGTAAGCAGCTTATTTACGAATGCGAAAGTCCACTTTGTTGGTTACCTGGGTCGCATGACCACCTTAAAAGCACATTTTATTTTAAAGCACGACGCGTGCCCGCATTCGATATTGCCGTTGCTGCACATTGCAGTTAGCCCAAATTTACTTAAAGCCTCGACTTTAAAGATAGCTTTTAGCGCAACTGTTCCATTTTACGAATCATTTCGTCACTGCAATTTCATGCTTCGTAAGGTTTTAGTACCAACCTCCGCCCAATTTATAAGATATGTTGTCTTTGGCGCTATTTCCCAACTAGGCAGCGTCTATGAAGATGCTAATTTTTTATGTCTGCTTTTCAGGATATATTACCTACTAAAATTGAGTGCGTATTCTGGGATATCAACGAAAATGAGGGGCTTGGTTCATGGTCTGGTGATGGATGCGAGTACCTCAACATGGTGCATGACTACCACCTCTGCAATTGCACGCACTTGACTAGCTTCGCCGTCATATTTGTGAGTAGCAAGAATTATACTCTACTGCAGAACTGCTTTCAAGTACTTTTAGCTTCTCGACATTTCAATGCTAACATTGCCAGAAATTATATTATTCGCGTAAGCTAATTTTACATATAGCATAATAATGCATAATCTTGTATGGCGCCAAATTGTTTTATATACCAACAAAATATTTACGTACAAACCATTAACACATGCAATTCCTGTGCAGCAAGAAAACTTTAATGATTCTAAAATCTCGAGCATAATAAGTAGTTGTATCAAAGTAATCAGCTCTAAAAGTAACATTCAAAAAGGCACGAGTATACCTCAGAGAAAAATTAAAAGAAACTACTTTATAACGTACAACCTTCATATATTAAGAAAGCCGTTGGGAACTTCTATCACATAGAAATGCTGACAGGATTCTAAAGCATGGTGAACTGTTGCAGCTGCTGCTTTCTTTTGTAAACAAGACTGCTGAGCGTAGTTGTGTTTTTGCAGAGATATGACAAAAGCCAGGAAACAACGAACGTTCATGATACTGTTCTCAGCTACTTGACTTCATTCGGGATAGCTGTCTCTGGCTTGGGACTGTTCTTCGTCATTCTCACATACATTTGCTATAGGTAAGTGTTTTATAAAAACAAATAATGCTGATGGAAATTCTAATTGATTTAGGCACTTACAGTGCGCAAAACTTTTCAATGTGGCCTGGTGCAGGTCTTTTTAACGCTGTGGGAGAGCAGAAGGCTCCGCGCAGATTTATTTATCGAATGGCGGACCTCAGACAGCCATGCTGTTTGAGCTTGTTCTTTTTCTTCTCCACCTAATAACTTCGTGTGATACCGACTTTGGTGAATCTGTCAGTAATTGAGTGGTTTTATAAAATATATATGATGTTTTAGACTATTGTAACTTATTTATGAGAAAAATACGGATTACCTAGTACACGTGTCGCATTATTTATTTTGTTTATGTCTTTTACTTTGTCGTCTTTCTGACGCCACGCGCACTGTCCACTACATGCCCCCCGCTCTCTCCAGCAATGCTGGCTTTGCCGTTGGGCTGTTTATTCGCTTTAGATGGCGTTGCCAGCGTCCACGTGAGCTGCGATTATTGCAGGCTATGTTCGCCGCGCACATTATTATTGCTGTTACTGGCTACTTGGCGCCAAATGGGCAACTCTCCGACCCTGTCGTGCAAGAAACTTTGAGGTGGACACTATGGTTCCCATCTACCTACCTTGAACTTCAATTCTGCCGTAGTTATCAGCCTTTTTTAGGTTTTCTGAAAATAAGAAGTAAATCTAAAGAGTAATCATTATTTGTTTATGCCTGTCTCTGCTGTTGCGTTATGCGCGCACTTGCTCTTGCCCCACCAACAAGCCACTGCGCATCACAGCCCCTAAGAAGCACCTCTCCGGTGGAGAAATTAATTGCATGTGCGCATGTAAGAAAACGAATGGCTATGCGGGGCATTGCTCTGAGTGGCTATGAAAGAGGAAAAGGAAGAAAAAAGCGCTGTCTCGTTACTGCCTCTCTTAACGAGGGCACCTCCACAGGTAAGCGCAGGGACGGGGGATGGGAATTAAAGAGACAGAAGAGAAGAGGTAAGAATAGAGTGGTAAAAAGCATTCGATCACTCGTATCGCACACGCGTGCAAGAAACAAACGTGAAAGCGCGACATACAGAAAGGCCCGTGGAGAAGCCGGGGGTGTGGAGATGCGCCCATCAAGGGAAAGCAAGAGAGGAAAAAAAGAAGAGAGAAAATAAAAGAAACCACTAGACAAGTGGAAAGAAGGTAGGGTGCTCCCGAACTGATAGTGAAGGGGAGAGAGTGTCTGCTGCAAAGGCTAAATGCGCCCACATAGAGTAGGAAGAAAAAAAAATAAGAAAAAAAAACAAGGAGAGGGAAAAAAAGCCGTCAGGCAGCTCCGAGCAGCCCATGTAAACAAGTACACGTGGAACTCGGAGCAGGAAAAAAAAAAGGCGTGGTGTGCAGCGCGACGTAGCAGTAGGGAGAGAAGGAAAAAAAAGAGCGGAGTAAGGATACGCGCAAAGAAAGTATACCAGACGCAACCAACTGGGACTTACCACCAAAAAGGCCAGCGGCACATTGATTTGCACGATTTATAGCGGACGGGAGCCGGCTTCTTGATAACCGGGTGTGTTCTCCAGGTTGATTCCAAACTGAAGAAGGCCCAAGAAGCAACATTGCGATCATAGCCCTCTGGTAGGGCCCTGAGCGCCACTCGAAGTGCTGTAGCAAGGGCGGTCAGGAGCTCGTTCCTTTTTTGGACCTCAGGTTGCTGCGAGGTTGCAGTAGCGGGCTCCATCGTCGTGCTTGTGTTGACGGTGACGGGAAGCGGCGGTTGGAAAAAAGCGCGCGGTGTCAGCGTCACTGTCGAGCGCTTTTCGACAACAGTAGGGGCCGGCTGAGCTGTGGCCGAGAGCGGGGCAGTCGTCGTTGTTGTGGGGACGACGGGCGCACTCTTTGCGAGACAAGGGGCGGCATCCGAGGTGGTGTCACCGGTACCGGCAAGCGCATCCCGGAAGGAGCGACCCTTGATGATGGAGGGGTTGCTGCCAGGGGTCCTAGCGTGCTGCAGGGCTTGGCGGCGAGTCACCGTGCCGTCAGTTGAGGCCATGATGACCACGGCTTTGCGATGAAGTTGCCAGGCTGGACAGCGGGGCTCGGTTGCAGGGTGTTTCCCGCTGCAGTTTAAGCAACGGGGGTGCGCTGCACACGATGCTGGGACGTGCCTGAGGCCGCAGCGCAGGCACCGTTCGTCCCGATAGCAGGTGGCGGTTGCGTGCCCGAAGCGGCCGCAACGGGAGCATTGCAGAGGCCGGGGCTGACGGGGTCGAACTGGGCGCCTTTGCTTATAGAGCAGGATATCCGGTGGGACGGTAGTCCCAGCGAAGGTGAGGGTGAGGCAGTTGCCTCTGCGTACACCGGACACGATGGGCACAGGTGAAGCAAGGTTGTCGGCGAGGTCCTCGAAGGGGATCGTTGGGTCGACTCCAGAAACCATGCCAACGCAGGTGTTGAGGTCGAGTTGTTTGGCTCGAACTTTTGTTGCACAGAGCGTTCCGACCTCAAGTAGGGCAGTCAGATCGGTGTTGGGATAGCTGTCCGCAGCAACAAGGTTACGCCGGAAATTCACCCGCACTCGCTTGGTGGCTGGGAACCCCAAAAGGAAGGCGGCGATCGCATCCCTCGAAGCAGCCAGGAAGTTAGCCTTCTTCCCGACAGGCCGAAAGATGATGGTGGCCGCACATCCAATCGGAGGAAGGTCGTCAGCAACGTGAGGACCGTCAGAACGCGGGAGCGTGCTTGGAGACACACCGCGCTCGCTGGAGGCAGACGCCGTTTGCTCGGCGGCCGGAGTGGTTGAAGGAGATGAGGAGGTGTTGCTGCCAGGGGGGTATCCCTCGCAGATAGCCACGGCCGTGGCAGGAGACGAGCAAGATCCAGTATATGCCTTGCCTTTGCTCGAAGCCGCGGAGACAGCAGCAGTGTGATGGCTGCTGACTTTCAGCGGCGGGGGTTGTTTGGAGCTAGCTGGCTTGGCTGGGGCCTGCTGCTGCTGCTGTGTTGGCACCGAAGATGATGCCGAGGCTGCCAGAATGGCATCCTGCTGCGTAGATTTTTTTCTGGTGCCTCGCCGAGGCGCCGTAAGTAGCCCTTAAAAGGGCTGCACGCGATGAGCGCGGAACGAAGTTCGGGGTGAGGACAGGAGCGCAATAACACACGTCCTTCTTGCTTGAAAGCTCATCCGCCTTTTCTTCCCGGGGCATTGCTCTCACCAGATTCCTATGTGAAACACAGCGCGTTCTCAGATATCTGAGAACATGATCAGATGTCTGATTTTCGATCAGAATTTTCTGCTCTAAGCTAGTCTGTTATTATTCTGACATTGTAGTAATCTTGGTTTATGGTTTCAAAAAAAAAACACCTTCGACATCTAACGTTCCAGCTGAGTGGTTTGGTATGTTAAAAATACTTTTGCAGAAAATGTATGGAAGACAAAATGCGCAGGCACACTGAAAGTAAAATTATTCATATATGTTGAACTTACCTGCGATTTGCTAAAAAAAGAACAGGTGGATAAAAAATGTCCCTGTTATACTCGGATTTCGTTTATTCTGGACCCCATTGTTTATACTGTGAGTACTCTACCCATAACGTCACGTTGTTCTTCTGTTTGGCTTCAAAATTGGCACTAAAGTTAGATTACAAGGCTACTTGTCTGTACCCTAATCTTGACTTTGACTCCGCTTAAATTCTTCCCATTCGCGACGTGCACACATATTTACGCTTAGCATTGCCTATAAAAAGCTTTCACTAGAGGCGGTAACACTGTGCATTGTGAGCCGTTCACCATTTTGAACTCATAGCCAGCTAACCCGGGAAGCGCGTATGCTGCAGCTCCCAGTAAACCACACCCACACGCCAGCGTTATCGCGCTTGTTGTTACTGTGAGCAGTACCAAACAATAACAACTAAGTCAGAAAAGACAAAATAGTACGCACAGACGCTCTCTCCGAAAGGCCACGAGCGCTACAACGGGAAAATGCACTGCACAAACATGGCTGCTTCCGGTTTGGCACATTGAGTGCGCCTCTAGAATTTCGCCGAGCCGGAACCCCAGGATCCACGCATTGACAGGAGGCATATTGAGAGGCTTCAAATGGGTCACCTATCAGCAAAATGAATAAGACAAATATACGAAAAACATTACAAGCTTACCTGTGTCAAGACGATCTCTCTATCGATGGCAACTTACTTCGCTCGAGTTTCGTGTACCCAGCGGCTTGTCGAGAGGCTGAGGCCACAAAGGGCCTTACTTGCTTTGAACTCCAGCGGCGTAACAAAACTCCTTCGTAAGACCAGAAATTCGCAAATGTCCGCAGCATAGACGCGTGGCCACGAATTCGCGTCTACTATACGCAGTCGGCTGCTTTCAGCGTGAAAGGGTCCTGATCGCATGCATAGCTGAAGTTGCTCAATGTATCGCTACTACTACTACCACTACTGCTGCTTCTACTACTACTGAATTAGTTCTATATCAAAAGTGTTTATTGTAGAACTGCAGTTAAGGCTACATTTGATACTGTCGTATAATGAATTCAATATGCGTTGAAATACAGCTTCAAATATCAATAACTACAAGCACAAAATATCCGGAATCAGGGCGTATCTTAGTTTTATACAGGTCTGAAAAATATTCTTCTGAAATCAAAACAAGCCTAAATTTTTTTATTCTTCGCAGTATAAAAAACAACAACGTGATAACTCAGGGTGGACGAATTGTGAAACTTCATTTCGAATTCAATTCAAATCGAATTGTGATGAGGGGTTGCCAATTAAATTGACTATCGAATCATATACTGAATCCGTTAAGCTTAGAAGAAAATTGAAAGAAAATTCATAGTAAACTTTGCATGTCTTAACACAAAACAAACAATAAAAACTTGTGATGGCGTGTCGATCTCAAAGTTGACAAACGGGCCAGTATCAGAGGTTTTCTATCAGGCTACAACATAAGCTCTCAAGATGCTGTGTGATTTCGCCGAATGGTTGCCTGGCCAAGCCTATTTTTACCTTCATACTGCCAAGCTC